ACACTTATTACCGATAAATATAAACTCAATTTACAAGAAGTCTATTTCAATGATAACTCTAATGATTTAAAATCATTTTGTTTTGATTCACTTAATGTAAAAACTTCTGTATATAAAATAAATAATTTATAAGCATCTAGGTTCTTCCATATGAACCTCCCAGGACTTATATTTAAGTTAATGGTTTTACAGTACCTTTGTCTCTAACATGTAAAATACAAACCATACGAAAATATTTTTTCTAAATTTTGTAATTTTATTTGTAAACTTGTTATAAAAAGTTATATTAAAATAAAGTAAGATTTTATACATTACGGTACTTTTAAAATTTATAATATGTGAAGAATTATACGTACAGTATAATAAACAATAAAATACTGTATAAGTTATCAGTTTATTTATTCACCTTGCTTATTTTTGACTATGAATTAATTTATTTAAAAGTTTAATGGCATCGTTTTGATAAATAATGTTCACATCATTCTCAATAAAAACTTAGTCGCTGAGTCTTGTGTCAAAACTTTAAACTATAGATTTATCTCGAAATTATCAGTTTATAACTTGACATTAGGCTTGATTTGTCTCTAACCCCAACTCCCATTGAGTGGAAAACACTTTATTCACTGATAAGTACTGTTCATCTATAACTTGAATTACGTGTCGAACAATGAAATTATTAATTTGTATTTTATTAATAATAAATTGTGGTCTCATATCCTGTGGCCCTCTATTCTTTAGGGGCCGACCACTTACTAAACATGGAATGCTTGGAAGTCCTGTCTCTACAGACAATGTGTACTATAATTCCCTTAAACTTCCAGAAGAACAATGGTTTGACCAAAGATTGGATCACTTTAATCCAGTCGAGATCACAACTTGGAAACAAGTATTCACTTATCATTAAAATTGCAATAAATGTTTATTTTTTAAAAATGATTTAACATTTGCAGCGATATTTCATCAATGACACTTTCTATACTAAAGGAGGGCCTATATTCCTGCAATTAGGGGGTGAAGGCATTGCAGACCCTATTTGGGTGGTTGAGGGACAGATTGCGGCCAATTATGCCAAAAGGTTTAGTGCCATGTCTGTCCTATTAGAGCACCGATACTATGGAAATTCACGGCCAACACCGT